TGCTGTCACAGACAACACAACACCAAGAACTTACTTTTGAAATGTTACCCAATGACACACCTAGAACGGATTCCTAAGCACCCGTGTCTACATGGGAAAGGAGGCTGACCTCTGTTGGGCTTCTCAAGAATCAGCCACCACGAAGACAACACCAACTCTCTTTGTTCACCACACGGCTTCATCCCATTGTTTCCATCTTTGCTTCCCCACACAGGGGTAAGCATGGGGCTTTGTATAGAAGAGGTATTCCATCCATATTTATTGGATAAACAGAGGAATAAATCTATAAATGTTTGGTGATCTGCACTATCTTAGGATAAAAGTCTGTAGGGGTGAGGTGGGATTTGTTTTGTTTCTTGAGGACAAAAACAGAAATATATGAGGGTACTAAATTCTAGAGTCAAAAGAAACATACTACCACTTGAGAATTTGCTTCTTCATTCATTCATCCAAAAATGACCATGGACTCCTTCCTACATGCAGACAGATAAATGCTAAGCTACTAACGGAAAGGTTGACAGAATCCATCCAGAGGGGCCATGGAAAAAAAACTTAGGGATCTATTCCAAAAGATTTTTGAAAGAGACTTAGGGATCTACTTCCAAAACAGCTATTGACAACCTTAAGGAACACAGTTCTACTCTGGCATACGTGGGTCTGCTGTGGTCATACACTCTTTGGCAACTGGTTTGGGTTGGTTTTGTTATCTGCCGGGCACTGGAGGGACACAGCTCCCCACGCTCATGAACCCTAGATCGTAATGTGGTAGTTGAAAGTTGAGGCTTTGGGCTCCCGCTTTCAGATCCTAGCTCTATCTTCCTGGAGAAGTTGGGAAAGTAGTTCAGTATGTTCCGTCTCTTTGCCTTAAAAATAAGGAGCGGGAATCCGCGGCGTCCTAGGCCTGGCTGCTAACCAGAACGTTGGCAGGGCAAACCCACCAACCACTGCAGGAAAAAGATGTGGCAGCCTCCTTCCTAAAGATGGTTGCGGTGGTTGTTAGGGGCTGTCGAGTCAGTCTGACCATTGGGACCTACGTACAACAGAACTCAACACTGCCCGGTCCCCGTGCCAGCCTCATAATTGTTCCCATGCCTGAGCCCATTGAAGAGTCACTGTGTCCAGCCGTCTTGTTGAAGGTCTTCCTCTTTTTCACTGCCCTGCCACTTTACCGAGGGGGGCGGCCTTCTCCAGGGGCTGGTCTCTCCTGACAACACATCCAAAGTATGTGAGTCTAGCCATCCTGGCCTCTAAGGAGCATGCTGACTGTACTTCTTCCAAGACAGATTTGTTTGTCCTTTTGGCAGTCCATGGTACTCTCAGTATTTTTCTCCAGCACCATAATGCACAGGCATTGTTTCTTCTGTAGTCTTCCTTCCTTAATGTCCGACTTTCACATGCATGTGAGGTGACTGTAGATACCATGGCTGGGTCATCAAAGTAACATCCGGGCTTTTTTGAACCTTGGACACCCTCTGGGGCAGTTACCCTCTGTCCCACCAGGTCATCTCGAGCCGATAATGACTCAACAGCACTGAGTTTGGTGGGGAGTGATTATCCATGGGAAGTAATTAGCAATGTACCTGGCACATGGTGGGATTCTAATCAATTTTATACTCTGATGACTACCACCCCTTGTAATTTTATCATGTTATTCAGGCAATTGCTTTCAGAGCCCTTATTTCAGCTGACATTTACCTTGTTTGGTTTTTGTTTATTATCTTGACTCCCACATTCCTCCCAGATGTTCAATATTAACTAGAAGATAAAGGTCGCTAGACACAGGAAACCAGGTAAATAACACACAGTCCCTCTAGGGCAGTGGTTCTCAACCTTCCTAATGTCACAGTTCCTCGTGTGGTGGTGACCCCCAACCATAAAATTATTTTCGTTGCTACTTCATAACTGTAATTTTGCTTCTGTTATGAATCGTCATGTAAATATCTGATAGGCAGGATGTATTTTTATTGTTCAAATTGAATGTAATTAAAGTGTAGTGATTCATCACAAAAACAATACGTAATTATATATTGTGAAATATTTATTTCTAATGACAAAGAAATGAAGTTTTGTCTTGAAGCATAGTGTAGCATGGTTAACAGTCCTAATGCCGGGTACTCGTTTGTGGGCGTATCTGTGTGTGGGCGGGCCCTCCTGGAGAGGGATAGAGGAGCGGTGTCTCGGTTCCTAAGACCATCGGAAATATGTGTTTTCCAATGGTCTTAGTTGACCCCTATGAAAGGATCGTTTGACCCCCCCAAAGGGGTCGCTACCCACAGGTTGAGAACCGCTGCTCTAGAGCCTAGGTTCCCAAACTTGGCCTATCATTGGACTCCTTTGGGGATCTGATGAAAATCCAGATCCCTTGGCTTCATGTGCAACCTAATGAATCAGAGTCCCTCGGGGGAGGAGTCTAGGGATCTGTGTTTTCACCAGGTCCCCAAGGGAGTTCAGTGATCACCCACATTTGGGAAGCTAGGCCCAAAAAGAAGCTCCCAACTGCTGGTTGGCTGGGAGTGAAAAGAGGTACTCTTCACAACACCGTCCCCCAAGGCAGGGCTCTAGGCCCGAGTCCCAGCACCAGGAGTAGAAAAATGAGGAGCTGGAGGCCTAGGGAGAGGATGGAAGAAGGGGAGACTCTGTCTCTCCACTTCTTATTAATGAAGACTCTGCTCCCAGGGTTTTTAATAAATGACCCCAAGAAGGCTTAAGTTAATTGAGCCCTGATTCTCAGGGCACAAGCAGAGGTGAGCATCTAAGGGTCCCCTCTCCTGGCCCAGAACCACTCTTTTCCAGCACTCCGCCTTCAAGATTTGGAACTTGAAAGTATTTTATGTGACTGGGAAGGATTTGCTCCTTGGAAATACCATTCGGATTCTTGGGAGTCACAGACATACTATCAGCCTACACTGGGCAAGTGGCAGCTACACAAACACATCTGAGGTCCCTACCTGCTCAAGTCATAGTGAACCAGGCCCATCGCCTATTAGAGCCTCCTCTTCCAACTCTCTTCTAGCAAATGTGGCCTGCCCTTCCAACCCCCAGCTTCTCAGGCTGACCTCTGCCAAACCCATTCACACTGACAGCTAGCTGTAGAGTGGTCTTCCTAGCTACCTACCGGGGTTTCTCCAGAAAATTTACCTTCTCAGGTTATCACCTTCATCCAGAGAACCACCACCTTAGAGACACAGGCATTCAGCCCTGGGCATAAAAATACAAATGTGCCTTCAGAGTGGTCTGCCCCTCTGGGCATTTATTAGCAGGCCTGAAAGAACTTTGTCACCTGTCCTGATAGACAATTATCCTAGGCTTTTCTCACTGGCATTACAACTTGTTTACTTCATTAATAAACCTATTAATCATGAGATTTTTTTTAAAAAGACAACTCTGCAGTCAGTCCTTGCTCACACAGTCACAACATAGCAAGGGAAGGGAGCAGACACTGAATTTTGGCCACAATTAACCTCGTTCATCAATTCACAGAAGATCCTGGCTTTATGATTCTCTTACTGTAAAAGAGAGACATCACTATATGCAATTGGGAACTTTCCTGCTGCTGAAGAAACCAGAACATGGAGGACAATTACATAACCTCTCTTAAAACAGAAGGTGACTCATTAAGAAATGTTTGCTCATGCTCATATGAGTATTGATGGCTAAAAAAAGAACGAACACCTATCGGTAGCTGAGGAGACAGTATTTCTCACATCTAACCAGAAATAGGAGAGGAGAAAATGGAATCCCATTGGGAATCTGAGGAAATCCTGCCTAATGTTGGCTGGTTTGCTTTTCTCTGAAGATGCTCATCCCGTAAAGCACCCTGGTTACATTTACCCAAACCAGACCCACTGCTGTCCAGTCGATTCGGACTCCTGCCCCATAGGGTTTTCGTGATTATAACTGTACCGAAACCAGCTGCCACATCTTTTTCCCAGAGAGTAGCTGATGGGTTTCACCATCAACCATTTGGTTAACAGCCAAGCTCTTAACTATCGCACCACCCGGCTGCCAGTTTTACCATGCCAGTGAGCCTAAAAGATAGCCTGGCTCATTCTATGAGAATGTTGAAAAGTTGGCCAGCTGCTAGAAATGTAGTCACTTTCCTCAAGGAAGAAAATTATTATCACACTAAACAATGTTATTCCATTCTTTTTGGATGTATCACCAGTGATGATTCTGTTTGAGTCAGACATCTGAAATCAACTGAAACTATCAATTCAGGATCAAACAGTGGTCATGCCCAAGAAGGTAGAATCGACTCAGTGCACGCCAAAATAAGGCAGGCAAAACTAAATGCTGCTTTCCTCAGACCATACCCCAGGCGCTCTGAAGTGAACGCACATTGGTCCTATTTGTAGTGAGCCCTGGGAAAGCTTTCTTGGTCTAAGTGAAATGATGGGGAATCTGACAATGTGGAGCCAGAAAGCCTCCCATTGCCAGTGCCCCTCTGGAACCCAGGACTCCTCCTTGCTGCAATAGCCAGGATGAGAAGACAAGACCAAAGCTCAACAACTTCCATGAGCTCAGCCTGTATAGCACAGACATGGCTATGGGGTCACCAAACCCTATTTCTTTTCCTCCTAACACACAGCTGACTAATTCTCATGTCCCTAGCAATTAGATGGGGCCAGTTTCACATTTCAATCAATTGACTGTGGTTAGACGTGATGGTGACTTTCAGGTCTGGTACCTAAATCCCTTGTGAGATCCTACAAGTATTCTCTCTTCCTTCATCTTCCAATCAGAGATAGAGGGCCCTCCAGAAGACTTCAAAGCTTCCAAAGTTGATGGAGCCACTGACAAGTCATATGGAACAAAGCTCCCCCTACCCAGTCCCCATTAGACTGTGACATGAGTGGGAAATAAACCTTCTTTGTATTAAGCCACAGATTTTTGCAGTGATTGGTTACAGCAGCTAGCATTGATCACTCTGATTGCTACGGCTTGCCTATGCCATGATCTCACTGTGGGGACATCAGTTGATCTGCATCATAAACACCTACCTGTGTCCGTGTCAATGCAATTGATTATCAGGCAGATTCCTAGGGGCTTGCTCTGCATCCTGTATATTTCTTCAGGTATATGCTAGAAATGAAAGCCAGGGGGGTTAAAGACTGCACATTGCTCTGTTCCTTAAAAGCCCATTCTGAATATCCTTAAATATCTCTTTGGCAGGACACTCAGTATACTCAGCCTGACATCATGACTGACAGTTCCCATTAATATTACATTTTGCTTCTCTTAATAGTAGTGCACATGGAAGGGATGATAAATACAGGGTGTAGTATATTTCCTCCCCTTACTATTATGGTTTTTGTTTTACCTCATTGATCGTGTTTGATTTGTGTTTGTTCATTGGTATATTTAAGATCGCTTGGTACATGAAAGCCAAGATAGACAACCCTTCAGAAACAGTAACAGAAGTAATGGCTCCCTGAGTTGTATGTGAATGGACATATTGGATTGTGTACAATTTGGGGGGGAGGGCAGGGAGAGGGGAATCCCAGGGGGAGGGGGAGGGAAGGGATAAATGGAGAGCTGATAATAAGGAGTTCGAGTAGAAAGAAAATGCTTTGAAACTGAATGTGGTAGCAATTGTACAGTACTGCTTGGTGTGATTGAACTATGGAGTGTCATGCTATCTGTAAGAGTTCCCAATAAAATGATTACAAATTTAAAGAAAAAGCCAAAGTACAAAACAAAACAAAAAAGTAATGCACTCTCTTTTAAGTTTAATGAAAACTGAAGTCTCCACATGGCTCAGCTTTATGGAATAAAAATCATTTGAAGCAGAGAGCAAGATGGAGCATGTTTGAACAGTAACCTGACCTCAAGAAGTGAGACAAGGCCTTCTCGCGTCTCTTCTTACAGAGAAGTGGCAGTCTCAGAAAGATCCAGAGTGAGTCCAGGGTCAGTGTCACTGCCTGCTTATATGCTCAGCAGTCATCATGCAGCAGAGAGACAGCGTGCTACTTTGCAGTGTCCTGGCACTGCAATGGTCCCTAGTGTAGCCACTTTGCCGTCTTTCTCAAGTTCCCCGGGAAAGCCTTCTCAGGAGAACAGCACTCAGCACCCTGTTGTTGTAAAAGGGACTCTTAATGGTTAGATCGCTTTAAAGAAGGCAGTGTTCTCCGCAGGGAGGGTGCCTACACACAGTCACATCATCCCGTACCACAGGCAGAAACGCTCCCGACTCCTGGATGGCTGTCTTCACTGGTCCTCCTGCAGGAGGAGAGAAGAGTCGGTCACAGAGCTGAAGGAAAAGCAAGCCCTCTCCGTGCCGGCTGAGCTTCTTTCCATCACAGTTGCTCTACGCCCTAGTTTCTCCCACTCTCCCTTCTTTTCCTAGTTAGACCGCACCCTGAGGAGCTTAGCTGATAAGAAAGCATGCCCTATGCTTTCTATAGAACACAGGTGTGGTATAGAAAAAACTCTTTAAATAACAAAGGAGAAGAAATCTTTCTCTCTTCTCTGTCTCCAATGGGAAGGACCTAATATCTTCACCACTCCACAATATTAACTTCAGTGTGTGCTAAAACCGTGTATAATGCTTAAAGGGAACCATCTTAGAGATCTCAAAGAGAAAGTTTACATGTCTTTGCTATTTATAAGACAGATGATTCTGTTTGCTTAGTCCAGTGTTAAATCAAGAACCTAAAACAAAGGTGGGGAACATCAACACCAGTTTACATCTCACACCTCATCTAGGAGCAGCCGTTCCAACCATCACACTACGGATAAGTTAATTAACTGACCAGTCTGGCCCAAGAATGATATTATAAATAGCTAAATGGCCCTTGGCAGGAAAAGGGTTCCCCACCCTTATCCTGAAATAAAAAGGCCATGGAAAAAGATAGGAGACAGTGAGTCTGGCAAATGTAGATGAGCCTAAAGCAAATTTTATTGGCTAACATGAGGTGAGTTGGAGGCACCACCAGCTTTGAAGCCATAAGGGCTGGCCCAAACCCCACCACCGACAAGTCCTGTTGCCGTGGGCTGCTTACTTCTCGGTGTTTCATCCTCCAGAAGAAGATACCCAAACCTGCCAGATCGTTGCAGGAGTGAGAAATACTGTCTACAGGCCAGCAACCACAACGCCACTATTGGTTGTGCTTTGGGAAGGTTAGCACTTTCAAAGGCTAATGTGGTATCAGTAAAAACAGACTCTTTAATGGGCATCATTCAGTTCTCAGAAGTTTATCCGAAGGAAACAATAAAGGAACTGTACAAAAATATATGCAAAGACTGTTAACTGAATGATGGTCTATACTGACCCCCAATTAGAAAGAACCTAAAAGTCTACCAACATGAAATTGCTTAAATAAATCATTGTACATATAGTGGAAGACTAAATAAAGTTAAAAAGCAGAAGGGCAGTTTCATGTTTTTGACATGAAAATATACAAGAGCTATTACATGAAAAATATGGGTTCTTAAATAATATGTGTAGGTGAATACCCAATTTATAGAAGACTATGGAGGATAGGGGGAGCCCAAAATCCATCTATAGGTAAATTAAGCCTCTGGTAGGTCCCCTCTAGCCACAGGCAAGGGACAGCTTTCCTATCAGACAGAGATGATTGGAAACTTGATTATGGTGGATCAAACCATGGTATATGATACTTTGTCAGACTACCTTCCTCTTGACCCAACCCGAATTTGCTCTCGGCTAAAGTACTGCTCAAAGAAATGTCTTCTCTGGCCTTTTAAATATTGATGGTGGTCTTTTCTTTGTTATGCTTTATTCATACTTTTATTTTTGTATTATGATTTTCTTCTTGCCATTTTGTTTTGTATTTTATCGTTTCTATTGGGCATCCCAGTTTGTGAAGCACAGAAGGAGTGGCTGCATAGAGATGCAATACTTTATCCGGGATGTGGAAGGGACATGGGGGGCGGGGGCGGATTTGGGGAGCAAACAGTGAATGCAGGAGGGAGGAGAAAGCACTTCCATAGTTAAATCACCTCTTAAAAGAGTTGTGATGATGTATATACAACTCTTTTAAAAAGCGATTTAACCATGGAAGTGTATGATGTGTAAATATTATGAAGAAAACTACTGAAAGAAAAAAAGAAACCAGACTTGACCAGTGGTTCCCACGGTGAAGGAGGAAGAGCTGCAGCTTGGGGGCGCTGAGTGTACGTCAGTGGTGGTGGAGTAGTTTGGAAAGGCCATCAATAATTGTTGTACAGTCGTGCAACATGAGTGTCATCAATGGCACATGAATTGTACATGTGGAAGCTGTGGAATTGGAGAATGTTTTGTTGTGTGTATTTTGCCACAATTAAAAAAAATTACATGAATGAGTACAAGGAAGAATGTGTTCTAGAATTGAATGGTGATAATTATACAGCTCTTCTTGATATGAGTAAATAATTGAATCGTATGACATGTGGATGGCATGCTAATAAAACTGTTAAACGAAAGAAATATGTGTAGGACTGATCCCATGTACTTAAAATACATAGTTGTATTTTTAAAAATTAAGCATATATTAGTACATAAGTTAAAAATTAACAGTAGCTACCTTGGGTAGTTGGAATTCAAGGAAAAGTTCACTTTACTACCTACTTTATATTTAACAATCGTGTGTTATAATGGCAAAAAAGAAAAAAAGGTTCACAGAACCATGAAACTATGTACTACGTCTGTCTCGGGTGAAGGCACTTAGCAAGAACTTATCCCTTGTAGTTGCCATCATCACTCAGCTGAAATCCATTTGGAAGACCAAATCATGTGAATACTTCATTTGGCCATCTTAAGAGTCTGGTCACCAAGATTAAGGTCCAGGTCTCAGGATGCTTTTTTCTCGTATTTGTGAATAAACCAAGCCTAGGCAAAAGCCAGGTTTGCCTCGCTCTCCTAACAGATCACCAGGCAGTGCTGAGTGGCTCGCTCACCTCGCCTCTATAATTATGATCAAATAGAAGCTCCCATCGGGGAGTGCACCGGAAAGGACCTCGGTTGTTTCTTCATTCCTGTCCTGTCTGATAAAGCCTCCTCATTTCCCTTCCAACAGCTTCCAGAATGCTGCTCCCGCCACTTCATCCGTGTTCTAAGAAATGTGTTGTCACTTCAGGAATACATTGGCTCCTCAACAGCTTTTACGGGAAACTGAACACTAGGTAGCGAGTGACAGGCAGGCAGGAGCTGTGCCAGCTGGCTAATGTGGGCAAAATGCTTCTGTCTCCGGGTGCATGCTGACCATATGGAAGCTGAGTCATAGAGATAGTGGTGTAGTGGGGACCCTCCCTCCCATCAGAACACCACCCTGTCCCTGACCCCACCATTGCACACAGGATAACCCCACCCCTCTCATCAACCAGAAGCCCTCCTGTCCTATCAAATGCTTCCTGGAATTCTAGAGCTGAGAGCAACTGTCCGATGGTCTCAGCCCTTACTTCCGAGGGAGGAAACAAGAAAGGCAACAGAAAGAGACTTTCAGAAAAGCTTTGGGGGTCAAGTGCTGGTGTTTTGAGGGAGGAGAGAGATCATGGGTTGAAATCGCTACGTTTTATTGTAGGTTTTCTTTTGGGTGGGGTGGCTGAGGGGTCACCTGTAGTGCACCGTTGTATTAAATGGGCCACGAAACAAGTTCCTCTTCTTCTTTCTCCTTCCTGTACTAGATGTTTGGGGAATACTAAACATGACCTAGTCTTACAGCTGGTAAAGGGGTGTTTACTTTTTTTTTTCACCTTTAAATATATATATATATAAAATACTTTTATTGGGGGCTCTTACATAGGGGTGTTTACTTTTAAACAAGCTAGTTTCATAGATAACTAGAAATACCAACAAATAACTGAGTTTAACTGCTTTTTATTTTAAGAGCTTAATCAGAAGTTGGAGATAAAGATATGGCAACATTTAAGATAAACAAATTAAAGGCCGTGGAAACTTTAAAAGTGAAACATGTTTCACTTGAAATATCAAGGATTTATAAAGAATACTTAAAAAAAAAAATCAGCCTTACTTTGAATACCATGTTGTCCCACCGTCCTTCTTTGTTCTTTACTGCTTTCTTTCTGTAGCTTCAACTAAAAAGAGCAAAGTCACACTCCCTGTGAGCTTTTTCAGAAGCACGACAATACTAGTACACCTCGTTAAGCACCTCAGTAGGTTTCCTACCCGGAAAAGAGATCAACACACCCCACTCCCGGTTCAGTGATCTGCGGATTGTGGCTGTCGGTTCCAGGTCAGAGAAACGTCTGTACAATGCAATGAAGCCGGGCCTGTCCCTGCGCCCCCCCACCCCCACCCCCGCTGTTGTGTTGGAGCTCATTGCTGCAGCCATTGTGTCAGGCCATCGAGTTGAGGCCCCTCTCTTTTTCTAGCAAGCGTCATTAATGTCATAAATCCCATTTATTTTATATAGCCAAAGAACATGGCGGCATGTCTTTTAAAAAGTGAAATGACAGTATCTTAAGCTAGCCTATCCGAGTACTTCAAACCGCTCAATAAAATCAGATGGTATAGAATAGATGCTGAAGGAGCTCCCGGTTAGAGCAAGCCGTTAGAGCGTGAGAGTGGCACTCAACCTGCTTCTTGAGGCAAAGCATGGCATAGCACCGAGCGGGCGCCTGGGCCGCACAAGCCTAGCTTGTGCATCTGGAGTCTGCCGCTGGCTAGCGATGTCATCAGAGCCAGTTATTTACCCCACGTCCATGTCTTCACGGACAGAATGAGGATCAGCATCGGGTCATTGTGAAGGCTGAATGTACACCGAGCACTTAGCACAGTGCCTCATACATAGGAAGCACTTACTAAATGTCTACTTATTGCTTTTCTGTAATTGCCTAGTTAGCTCAGTGTACATATGCAACATGTTTGTTTCATGTTGGATAATTAGGTATACTTCTGAGGGCTAGAATGGGGCTATACTTTCAACCATCTGATACATGCAGCTTTCAAATGATAGCTTTCCTCTGTGACTGTCCTGGCAAAAGGGACAGAGTGCACTTGGTAAAGCAGTGGCTGTAGCTAAGTTCATAGGTCTAAATGGAAGAAATCATGCCAGCTGATTTGATCACTGATGATCACTCATTTAGCCAGAGGCCAGGCCTAAGAGGGAACCTCAAAAAATCCCTGGAACAATGGAAGTAAGAGATAATGGAATCCATGGACTGTAAAAATCCCTTTCAAATTAGAAAGAGTTTGGCCCACTTTTACATATACATATTATTAAAGAGATAAAAGGCCAAATCAAAGGAAGATTTTAAAAGCATTCCATTGCAGAGTCATGCAGTCTTTTATGGATAATGCATTGATATCATGTGCCATTTAATGATACTATAATTTCAAAAGCATTTTTATAGCCATGTATGAGCAAACACCCAGGCATTTAGCTCCTAGATATGTGATAAATTCATAAACCAGAGTGCCTGCCTACTAAATGAATAAATGATCCAGGTCCCAGATTAAATACAGGCAAAGAGAAAATTATACAGAACACAGGGTTCCCAATAGGCTATATTTCAATAGTAATAGCTTCACTTACCAAATAGAGAACAGTCCAAGCATGGCAGACTTGTAACAAAGTTTAACAGTATAACTTATATTCAGTAGATAATAGCAGAGAAACCGCAGAAAATCTGATCTGAATCTGAAATTTTTTATAGTGAGGTTAGTACAAGCATATTTATTGAAGCATTGTTAGTAGTGACCAAAGATTGGGAATGATGTATCATATTTTTACACAAACAGCATACACGTAACATGCTTTTTGCCAGCCATGCAACAGCCCTCCTGAGCCCTCCTCCACCATCACCCCCCCTCCGTGTGTGGGTATGTCATTTCCAAAAACGATGGTAAATACCCATCAACGAGGAAAGGGTTCAACACAATTTTATTCTTCAAGAAAGCATGAAATACCTCAGTGATGGTATAACTCATAATGCTGTTTATTAACTATGACATGGCACAGCAAGAGTTGTATGGGCTGGGTCTAGTACTACCAGTAATTAGAATTGGACAACATCGTAATGCTCTTTAGCCCTTTGTTATCTTATTTGATAAATGAGCGTGGTCACTATAACCCTTAACCCCATTTCAGCTCTGCACTTCTACTGTGCGCACTCTCCATGCATCTGTTTATACTACAGGGGCCGTTCACATGTTGTCATCACTTACTTTTATGAAAGTGCTTGCACTGTCTAAGTCCACGCGACAGATTCCTCCTATCTTTTTATGGGCATGTGGATGAGGTCAAAGTTTACCTTCTCCAAAGAAGATTAACCATATGCATTGCTGAATGTAACTCTTATGACCCACTGTAAATCATCATCCACAGCACAATAACCAGTCGCAAAGAGCAGGGAGGGGTGACAGCATTTACCCAAGGACAAAGTTGAGAAGCGTTAGGCAAGGGGGTGGGATGGAAAGAGGAAACCCAAAGCGGAAGGGGATGAGTTACATGGTGGGAATTACAATGACATGAAGCAAAATGGGTAGAAGCTGTTCAGCAAAAAACTGATCTGCTCTGTAAAACTTCACCGGATTCAGTAAGAACGTTTTTATTTTGTTTTGTTTTAAAGAAAAAAGAAAAGCTTTACAAGGAGAGGTTAAACTTAGGACTTTGTACACACAAGGGTATTATAATTATTACAGAAAAAGAAAAGAAAGAAGGAAGGTTAAAACAAAAGAATACTTCTAAAGAGACCCTGTACTATCTACGGCTAACACAACAGCCCCAAACGACTATGAGATATGAATGCTTGTTCACAAACCAGAAAGGAAGGTTTTATTTCATCACTCACTGCCCACCCTCAATATTCTTAACATAAGCTCAATCAAAACAAGAATGCATAGTGAGGTTAGTGCAAGCACATTTACTGAAGCATTGTTAGTAGTGACCAAAGACTGGGAACGATGTATCATATGTTTACACAAACAGCATACACGGGCATACACGGGACATGCTTTTTGCCAGCCACGCAACAACCCTCCCGAGCCCTCCTCCACCATCAGCCCCCCTCCGTGTGTGGGTATGTCATTTCCAAAAACGATGGTAAATACCCATCAACGAGGAAAGGGTTCAACACCTTGTGATACAACTAGCAAATGGAATGTTATTTTAATGTCCAGACGTTAAAATAATGATTACATAGAGACAGTTTCACATTGGGATGAGGGGAGCTGTGTGCAACCATGTGTACAAAAGGCAAAAGTAAAACTGAGGATTATGCGTACAGACTATCTGGATGGTTAGAGACGGAACTGGGTACCAGCAGCCGAGTTTCCAGAAAGGAACCGGCATCCGTGCTCGAGGGGAAGGAGGAAAACATCCTGTGAAGGCCTTTTCTAGTGCCTTTGGGGCCTTTTGTCCACAGCTATGTCCTACTTTTTGCAAAATAAATCTTCAAAGGACCAAATGAACAATGAATAGAAACACTCTACTGTATACACAGACGTGCTCGTAAGCACACCCAGTGTGCAGAAGCTAGAAGAAAATATATAAGCCAACTCATTAGCAGCGGTTGGCTTTGAGCAGTGGGATTAGGGGTGACTCATATTCTTCTTATATTTTTCTGTATTTTCCCACATGACCTCAATAAATCTGTATGAGTTAGAAATTTCACCTTTATTTAAAAAGAAACACATGTTTGTGTTATCATTGTTTTTTTCCCCGATAGTAAATAAAGGACATGCTTTGGGATTCTGTATGTTTTTATTAAAGTTCTGAACTGGCTTCATGCTGCAACTTCATACATTTGCTCCGCACTCACCCCCAAGCTGTAGGAAGGTTCCTTGAAATTCAGGTTTGGGAGAGATGCTTGACAAGCATTTACATAGCTCGTCCCTGCTACCCTTTGAGCTGTAGGCAGAAGAAGAGTTCTGAGTTAAGATTTTACAAGTTATTTTCAAATGACTCAACAATGGCTCAGTCCCTGGTCACTTTTCTGAAGCAATCATATTGAAAAGGGACCATTTTTCAAAATATCCAAAACTTCCCAGGCATCTTACTGAACTAAAATATGGGTTCACCAAAGGTTATTAAGAACAGATTAAAGAAGCTACTCCTGTTCTTGTTCCTGTATCAGATACGTAGAAGTATGTAGGAGCCCTGGTGGCACAGTGGATTACGTATTGGGCTGCCAACCAAAAGGTCAGCAGTTTGAAACCACCAGCCACTGTGGGGGAGAAAGATGAAGGCTTCTAGTCCTAAAACTGTTACAGACTGAGAATCCCTGTGTCATAGGGTCACTGTAAGTCGGGATCGACTGGATGGCAGTGGATTTGTTTGTTTGTAAGAGGGACTTTTAGACCCCTGGGTCTCAGCCACAGTGACTCTATGATGACAGTGGGCAATTAACAGAGCTCACACCATGGCGGAAGCTACAAGAGAATGGGAGAAGGACCAGGTGAGGGAAGGCAGTGTGAGCTCAGTCCCTTTATGCAGCGAGGGGTTATCAGCTGACACTGAAGATGCCTTGTTCCATGAGCGGGGCTTGTGAAACCAGTAATATACAGGGCATCGATGGGATCCTGATGGGGCTTGTGAAACCAGTAATATACAGGGCATCGATGGGATCCTGATGGGGCTTGTGAAACCAGTAATATACAGGGCATCGATGGGATCCTGATGGGGCTTGTGAAACCAGTAATATACAGGGCATCGATGGGACCCTGGTGACAGGATATCACTCATTGTTGGATGGTGGCCATGCCAAACTCTACAGAGAGACAGCAGGATTTAGCACACACTGGAAAAGTCCAGAATGGCTGCAGCTAGTCCAGCTAACTGGAGTGCTGAAGGCCAAGAACATTAAGAATTGCATGGGGCATTTTGCAAAGGGCTGAGGTGCTGTGGTCATGGCTAAGAGGTTATGGAGCCAGCAGATATGAACGGACATGCTCTTCAGCCATGTGCTACTGGGGGAGGTGGACTTTCAGGGTCCAGTCCACGCACTCATTCAACAAACGAATCTCTCTTTACAATCATACCAACGTGGCAGAAGTTACTTCCTTTAGACCAGTAGAAAGCTAACACTCTTCTTACCCGATTGCTTGTATTTCTGCACTTTTGTCTTCAGGTCTATTCTGTGGATGGTCTTTAGGCATGTTTCTAGTAGATCCAAATGATCTGGAGCAACCAGATTCTGTTTCTCCAGTTCAACCACAAGATCCAGGAAACTCTAGGAAAGCCACCAACAAGAAACACATGTCAGTCGAGCTGGCAACGAGGACATGATACAGACCATGGGGTTTCACACAGAAGAGCATGTCCCTTCAGTGGCGCTAGAGAAGACATCTCTGTTTTCTAGTCCACCTATGGCTATGAGAAGAAAAGATTCTTCAGGGTTTGGCTCAGAAAAGGGGTGATGGTTAAGTCTTTGGTGGCCCAACGGCATCTAAGTTTGGGAGAGACACATGGGCTATCTTCTGTCATCAAGGAGAACTGTCATGAGAACACCCCCAAAACAAAGTCCTCCTGACTTTCCAGCCTCTAAAAGGGCAGGCTGGAAAACTCTAGAGACTTCCTTGAAAGGGGGAGGAAGAAAGCACCTGGGGAGAAAGATCTTGTGAGAAAAACCCTAATTGCGCAGTGTCCTTAAAATATTTGGATTTATACTGGACATTCCAACTCCTCTGACTCAGGAGGATCATGAGGAGGCAAAGGTATGTCGGGACCAGCACATTCTGTAACTCATTGACCCCAGATCACAGGGATTGTGAAAGGTCGACATTTCAAAAACAGGTATTGCTTCTAATGTTACTTCCCTTCTGTTTGGTCACTGTCTCTAAATATATCAAGTGTTTTTTTATGTACCTCTAAAAGCATAAACATTATAATCAAATACCTATGTAGATATAAATGACTGGAAGAGAAGTTGGTCAGGACACAGCAAAATCAAAATTCTGTTTTATATGTTCCTTACCGATTTGCAACTAACGGTGGGGCATCCAAATTCCACAAATGAAACTGCTGTCATTACGGAACATGAGGAAACTCAAATAATGGTTTCCAGAGACCTTTGCGACCAAGCCAACCACTGAGAAGCCCAGCTGGTTCCTGACTTGCCTTCAAGTCCGCGACACCAATAAGATCAACTGGAATTTACATGCTCTCCTAGCAATCACAACATCCCCGCAACAATCACCTTTACATAATTCTCAGCCCCAGATCTCGACCTTAGCCCCTTCCCAGTTAGATCAGTCCCCCTCCCTCTGCCTCCACTTGCAGCCTTCACGCTGACCTTGACTAACTGAAGAAAGGAGATGGCAGGAGGGAGACAAGACTAGAGATACTTGTACCTCTCACACTTCTTTCTATTAAGCATGTGAAGATGGGACTTTCTTGGTTGGTGGTGTTTTTTGGTTTTGTTTTGTTTTGAGAATATGGGACTTTCTCACCCAGCAGATGCTCTGTCAAACCAGGGGAAACTAGTGAATAAGCCAGGGCCATGGATTTTCCAGAAGTATAGAATACAAGGATGAGAGAAATACAGCCACACCAGAAGATACTACCCTATTTCCTCTCAATCCGTAAACCAGATTTCTTCCATTCATGTGATTAATGGAAAGTGCATTTTCTTCTCGCCTTCCTTCGTCCCCAGTGTGGGCCTTCCTGCCCCGGTAGTGACTCCCACTCACCCAGCGCAGACTGCCTGCCTCCCTCTCCTCATTCTGTACAGCGCGGCCTCCGATTTCTCCGAGGCGCTTAGGAGTGTGAACCAAGAAACAGACAGTCACCTTGTCTTTTGATAGTTTTCCTCGGCCTGTGTAATCCTTCATGAGGAAGATTAATGAAGACACATCAGACTTGCCCAAATCTTCACTGATCTCTGTCAACAGCACTCTGTAAGCCAGAAAGTGGGGTGGGAAGAAGTTTTTAATAAATTTACGTCTTTGTTTTTAGTGAGAATGCCAAGTCCGTGAGTCTGCGATGCCAATAACTGGTCAAAAGAGTGATCTTGTTCCTTGGTTTGGGGCATGTGAATGTGCGCCTCACAAAGCAAAAGGCCTCATTCAGTCCCAGGAAAGACCTTATGGGACTAAACAAGGAACTTTATCTTTTTTTCCTGTTTTCAAATAGAAGGTGGGACCTCCCCTTCCAAGTTAGGTCTGAAAACAACTCTCAGAGGACAAAGTTGATCTCAAGAATCCGTCAACTCCACCGTCGCTGAAGACAGAGCAGATGTATAAGCAAATGTGGTGAAGAAAGCTGATGGTGCCTGGCTATCAAAATGTATAGCATCTGGGGTCTTAAAGGCTTGAAGGTAAACAAGCGGCCACCTAGCTCAGAAGCAACAAAGCCCACATGGAAGAAGCACACCAGCCTGTGATCACGAGGTGTCGAAGGGACCAGGTATCAGGCATCAAAGACCCAGAACAAAAAAATCATATCATTGTGAATGAGGTGGGGAGCGGAGTAGAGCCCCAAAGCCTATCTGTAGACAATTGGACATCCCCTTACAGAAGGATCACAAGGAAGAGACGAGCCAGTCAGGGTGCAGTATACCACTGATGAAACATACAACTTTCCTCTAGTTTTTTAATGTTTCCTCCCCCCCACTATCATGACCCCAATTGTACCTTACAAATCCAGCTGGACCAGAGCATGTACACTGGTACAGATAAGAGCTGGAAACACAGGTAATCCAGGGCAGATAAACCCCTCAGGACCAATAATGAGAGTGGTGATACCAGGAGGGGAAGGGGAAGGTGAGGAGAGAAAGGAGGAATGGCTCACAATGATCCACATATAACCCTGTCCCAGGGGGACGGACAACAGAAAAGTGGGTGAAGGGAGACATTGGTCAGTGTAAGACATGAAAATAATAATTTATAGATTTTCAAGGGTTCACGAGGAAGGGAGTAGGAGGGAGGGGAGGAAAAATGAGGAGCTGACACCAAGGGCTAAAGTAGAAAGAAAATGTTTTGAGAATGATAATGGCAACAAATGTGCTTGACACAATGGATGTATGTATTGTGAAAAGAGCTGTGTGAGCCCCCAATTAAAAACAAAAACAAAAAAACCCCTATAACACACACATAGGTCACTATGCTTCAGAATTGAATTAAGGGGAAGTATTTTTTAACAGGTGTGTAATGATATCTCATTGTGGTTTAATTTGCAGTTCCCCAATGAATAATAAATTGGAACATCTTTTCACATGTTTACAGTTCAAAAAATTTTTTGAAATGAGTTAAGAACCTCAATGAATAACATAAAAGTCAGAAGCAGAATTCAAAATGACTTTGACTTCTCCATTTAGCAGTCCACTGACCCCAAAGAGAAGGTGTAATATTAGCCCGGAGTATTCTCAAGGTCTGGTTAATTCCAGATTAATTCCATACCCTGGAAGTTTCTGCCCAAGACAGTCAGTTGTTGCAGTTCATGGTAATGTTCTAAAGGCACAGTTTCTCAAACTTGTATGTGTACCAAAGTCACTTAGGCATCTTGTTAGAATGCATTCCCTGATTAAGTATGTCTAGTGTGGGGCCTGAATCAGCTTCTCTAATAAGCTCACTAAATAAGTAAACCAGACCTGCTGTCGTCAAGTCCATTCCTGCTCAGAACGACCTGAGGTATAGTTTCTGAGACTAACCCTTTATGGGAGCAGATATCTTTTTAACAAGGAGCAGGCGAGAGGTTTGAACTGGCAACCTGTGGTTAGATGAACAAGGCTTATCCCACAGAGCCACCAGGACTCCCAACAAGCTCCCAGGTAATGCTAATGTTGCTGGTCCAGCGACCATCCTCTGAGTATCTAACAAAAGGAAATACTGGGATACCTTGCCCCATTCCTGAACTCGAAGGGGAAAGGGCATCTGGATCAGGAGGATTCTGACCGTAAATGTCTTTGTATAGAAAACCCTTCCTGACTCACCTTGATTCCAGATGGCGACTACATCGCCTTCCATCAGTCTCTTAGGAGACCTCGTGATTGGCATCATTACCATTACACTGTACAATCACTGCTTAGAAGACTTTCCCCTAATAAGCTATAAGATTCCTGAGGATAGGAGAGTCTTCACTCATTTTTCCCTAGCGCTAACCAGAACACCTAGCATGTGTCGTCTACTGAACAGATGAATGAATGAAATCCGCTGCCCAGCCTCATTCTCCATCACCACAGCAAGGAAACATAAAAAAGGAGAGCACAACCTCACTTATTCATTGAGATACAGTTAATGATCGCAAATAACCATTTTCTGGAAGGGAAAAAACCTCCATTGAACCAATTTTGAATCATAGTGACCCTATAGGGCAGGGTAGAACTTCCCCTATGGGTATCTCAGGCTGTAAATCTTTACAGGGGTGAAAAGCCTCATCTTTCTCCCATGGAATAGCTGGTGGGTTCAAACTGCTAACTTTGCAGTTAACAGTCCAATGTGTTTACACATTGCTAGGTGATAACTGGATCCACTTATTGAGTGGAAGTGGGAGAAATGAAGCAATAAAGAGACAGGTTGAGTCTGGCCACTGACATCTGTGGACCTTTTTTACAGGAACTAGAGAAGATGAGAGTGGGTTGGCTGGTCTGAAGTTTATAGAGTTGTGTGGAACCTGAGCCTATGGCATGACCTAGCCCAAGGGGGTTAGGGTTGTTGAGAATTTGTGATGGGACATTGGTCTAAAGGCAAGGTAACCAATGGGCACCCTGGTGAGGCAGCCTACACTGAGTTGACCAGAACCTAACCAGATGAAGAGAAGATTTTTGAGCCTATGAACTGGTGCATATTGCTGCTGACTTTGTGGACGGCCTGTCCTGTCCTGATTTGCCTTTGCTTATAGATACAGACTTCACAAGGTTCCAACTGGAGTGAAGAGTCTTCACATCAAAGATTAGGATTGTCTCCTCAGAGCACTGGGTTGATGTAAGTGGACAGTATAGAAATTTGGATACCAAAATTGGGAGGATAAGGGTATGAAATGTCTGGCTTACAGACTTTCATAGGTGGGGGAATATATTCATAGAATTAAGGTGTAGGTGTTCACTTAACTGCAATTGTTAGGCATAGAATATTGTTGTGTTGTTCACTTATAGATTATTATGTTTAAATAAGGATGGCACATTTTTAAATTGTATGCATTTTAGTTGTATCCTGTTAGGTACAGATATGATTTTATTATTGTTTTGTTAAAAATTATGTATGGCTAACGAGTTGTGTATAGTGTCAAGTTGACAAGGGGTGGGCTGTGGTAGTTACATAATCTCTTGTCAACTTGCGAAGGGGTGGAGTCTAGCCTGTCAATCAGGTCGCAGCTTGATGACCCCTCATTTGGAGGTGCGATGGAGATAAATAGCTCCCTAGAGGTGGAACAGACACACTCCTTAAGAGACATTCCTGTTGACAAGCCACATGGAGCTATATGTTGATAGAGCCAGTCCTGGAGCTGGAGGAGCCACGTGGCGACCCATACCAGTGCTGAGACTCTTCCACAAGACCTTCCACCCACTGGCCTGTGATCTTCCTGCATTCTGCGTCATTGCATGGCTGCATGAGTCTAAAGAGGAATTTATGGACTAGTAGCAACATAGAGGGTAATATTGGACTTGTAGACTTGATCTGGACTGGGCTGGGATGTTTTCTGAATGTACAATTGCTCTTTGATATCAAGTTCTCTCTTACACACCTATGAGTATCTATGAATTTGTTTCTGTATTCAACCCAGAATAACCACTCCCCTCTCCATTTCTTGATATTCTATCAGAAGACAAGCCCACTTGATCTGTCCCTTGCACATTCCGATCTATACAATTCCTGTGAGGAGACACATTTCTACAAATCCAAAGAATTCCAAAGAATGAAGCACCACCATATGAAAGTTAGATGAGGTGGTTAGAGTAAGCTGATTTTCCTACTGTTCTTGTGACATTCAGTAGAGGCTAGGCTACCTCCCTCTCCCTCCTACCAGTCCAGCCTTTTGAGGAGTTAACGAATTACCTATAGTCGGGAACAAGGTGATTGTTCCTGAGCAGAAGCACCTCCACTGTTGCTTTGTCCATCTTCAAGATCCGCTTGAGCAAGTCAAACCGCCTGACTCGGTACAGCAGCTCAGCCAAGCTTTCAGGAGACAGCTTACCTTTCTCACTTAAAATATCCAAAAGGTCTCTGACATCGGGTGGAGCCACATCAGTAGCAACATCCCGACACAAAAATAAAAGCATCTCCTTCTCATCTTCATCAAGTGATTCTTCAACTTGATGGATGACGGCAGCAGGTACCTGGTACAGAGTCATCCCAAGGAATTGCAGCAATAAAACACCAGTCCTTTCAATAGAAAATCTTGAAGCTACTGACTTCACTTCTTATGGTTCTCTTCATTTCTCTTGGAATCCTTTCCAGTACAGGAGTTCTGTGATTAAAAAGGAATGTTTTAAAATCTAATTATCGTATCCCACTCCTGACACCAAACATAAATCTTCTAATTAATGGAGACATTCAGCCAGATGGTGGACTAGGCAGATTGTGGACTAGCATGCTACACAGACCAGCTACAGTCTACCACAAGACACGAGAGACCAAATGAAGCAAATATGGTTGATAATCATAGATCCTTGAGGTCAGAGGAAACGGCAGAGATGTGCACAGAATACTGACTAGGAAAGAAAAAAGTGGTTAGAGTAGAGACGGAAGGGTGAGTTGTCAGCTGGCCTGATGCAGTGCAACCATCTTGAACTGTCGCAAGAAGCATTCAATTTAGGCAGTGGTCTGACAACAGAAACACACACAACTGGCTGGTGACCAGAAAGGTGGATTTCTCCCTTGTTCACCATACTCTCTCAGTGACCAGAAGTATACCCAGTCTTCCACCCTCACCTACCCAACAACCAGTAACAACCACCCCCACCCCCACCCCAACCCTCCTGAAGTCTTACTGTGCCCCAGGTCAGAGCCATACCACCACCACCACCCTACCCCCCATGGGCCAGGCTCCGGATGCACTCCTACTTCTGTAGGCTGGTGACCTCCACCTCACCAGACCAGCAGAACACGCAAGGCTGACTCCCTGGCCACCCTTGGATGGGCAAGAACTCCTTCCTTAACCAGCTGACTTGCCTCCCATTGCCCTCTGGGCCCAAGAGTTTCTCCCAGGGACAAGCATGCTGACCTCAGTTGCCACCCAAGCCAAAGTGAACTACTTCTGGATCAGGTATTTTGACCCCATACAATATTCAGGCTGGCAGGAATGCCACCTTGGACAGTGTCCCATCATCTCACCCCTCCTCCAAAGAGCACAGGGTCAACCCATTCCAGATGCCACACCCCCAGGGTTTCTCCTTTGTTTTATTCCTTTTCTTTCCCTTCTGTTATTTGTTTTATCCTTTCTTACTCTGTTTTCTGGTTTCCTTTCTTTTTCCCTTACCTTTCTTCTATTTTTTTCTCTTAATTTTTCCTTTATTCATTTCCTTCTGTTTTCCCTCTCCCTAGTTTTGCTTGTTATACTTTTTCTTTTTAATCATTCCTTGTTTTTAATTTTTTCCCTCTCTGTTGTTTGCCTGCTGTTCCCTACTGTTTTTCTTTCTTTGCTGTTTTTTGTTGTTTATTTTTTCTCATCCCACCCAAAAGGAGACAAAAGGCATGCTGACATAGCCCAGACACACCTGGGGCAAGGGTCACTACCTTATCCTGTGCCACCTGGTCATCAAGAAACAGCAGGCAACAGCAGGCAACCCTTCCTTCAACTGTGCTATACAACAGTGAGTGGAGAACCCGTCACACACTCACAATTCTGTCACGTCCACCAGCAGGCAGGTGGTGAGTGCCTAAGAACACACCAGCATATAATCACCAATTAAAGTGCAAACACAACAGCATAATGTTTCAATACTAATCTGCTAGGGGAACAATAAGACATAAAGAACAAAAAATGCAGGGGATGTGGGGGAAGAAAGGGGGCGCTGATATCAGGGGCTCAAGCGGGAACAAAATGCTTTGAAAGTGCTGATGGCAGCATATGTGCAAACGTGCTTGACACACTGGATGAATGTGATAAGAGATGTAAGAGACCCCAATAAAGGTACTTTTTAAAAAAGAATAAAAAATGTCAAAGAAAGCTTAAGAATTAATGTGAGACACAATTAAGAGTAATGACCTACATGTTATTGGAATTCCAGAACAAGAGGAGACCAATTTTCAAAAAGGAGAGAAAATTTTCAGAGTAGATAGAAGAAAACTTTCCTAAGAACATGAAAGAGCCAGGGCGGATGAGCCCTATAGGACCAGTGGTGTGAGTGGCAAAACAGGGAGGGTAAAGGGAGAATGGGTAGGAAAGAGGGAACCGATTACATGGAACTGTGTGTGACCTCCTCCCCGGGGGACAGACAACCGAAAAGTGGATGAAGGGAGACATCGGACAGGGCAAGATAAGACAAAATACCCATTTATAAACTATCAAGGGCTCATGTGGGAGGGGGGAGCGGGGAGGGAGGGGAAAAATGAGGACCTAATGTCGGGGGATTAAATGGAGAGAAAATGTTTTGAGAAACGATGTACAAATGCGCTTTACACAATTGATGTGTGTATGGATTGGGATAACAGTTGTATGAGCCCCTAATAAAATGTTAAAAAAAAAAAAGAACATGAAAGAGAAGATGTGCATTCTGACCCTGCCTGATGCTTGACCTCATAAAGTGATCAGTAAAGATAATGGGTACTATAGTAAAGTGTGGTGAAGAAACTAGATGGTGCCCAGCTATCAGAATTAACAGCATCTGGCATCTCAAAGGCTTGTTTTAAAACAAGCAGTCCTCTCAGTGGAGTGTCAACTAAGTCCACACGGAAGAAGCACACCAGCCTGTGTGATCCAAGGAATTTAAATAATATAATCCAAATCTAAAGGAGGCAATGGCATCAGAACTTAAATTATGAGCACCTGGTTTGCAGAAGGCTATGGATGGATGACAATGGAAGGGAAGTGGAAATCCACTTACAGGGCCCATACATGGATTAAGCCTCGGGTAAATCCCCCTCTTATCATAGTTAAGAGATGTCAATAACTCTGTTATCAGAGCAGTATAAATTCAATTAAGGCATGTCAAAATGCAGTATTTCTCATTTCATCCCTCTTTTGACCTATTTTAAAGTTGCTTCAGTTAAAAAAAAAGTGAAGGGAAAATACATGTGGTAGAAAAAAAAAAGAAAAGAACCGTGGATTAAGTCCTTGGTTATTCCCCTCTGACTATGGATCAGGGATGTGAATTGCCTTGCTATCATGCTGAATGTATTCGAGAGTGGATTACTGCAGATGCAGTTAGCTTAAAATTTAACCCCTTATCATTTGATCTCCCTTATGATCCTTTTAAATATGTTCTAGTTTTTAATATTTTCTGCTTTCTTTTTGATTGAGTGTTTTATGTGTTTTACTTTGTTATTCTGATTGGTTTTGTTTGTGTGTTAATGTTTTTCTGCATATGCAATCCAGAATAGGTAAAACGATAGAGACCGTAACTGGGTTAATGGTTCATTGGCGGTGTGTTGTGGTGTGGAATGGTTACAGGTTGGGCTGCAAACTGCATGGTGGGCCGTTGGAAACCACCAGCAGCCCCGCAGAGGAGAGCCCGGGCTCTCTACTCCCATCAACAGCTAGTCTCGGACATCCACAGGGGGTCTCTTAGGGTCAGCATCGACTCAGTGGCAGTGAGCTTGGAGTTTGGGGGGGAATGAAACACCCTCCGTGGAAGATAAAAGAGCGGAGTAGGACTCATTAAAAAGAAAACACTTGTGTACATTAAAAGACTTTATTAAAAGAGTAAAAAGAAAGCCCACAGCCTGGGAAATGTCTACAGAAAGGGATCTCTTTAGTAGTCAGACTGACTATTAATCCAAAGAAAAAGAAAGAGAGACTGAAGTTCATCTCCCAAAAAAAACCCATGACCTTTGTCAGAATTTCCCAGAATGGAAAACACAGTGGGGGGGGGGGGACACACAAATGACCTCAGTGGGAAGAAGAGGAAAGGCTGACGAGATTAAAGAAGCAGACTTCCTGGGGGCTAACTCTCGGAGACTCTGCCTGTGGTCTTACGTAAATTTAGCAAAAGGAATCTCCTCCTCGGCAGGAATGAAAGAAAAGAGGCCTGCCCCGTCTCCCCAGTTACTATCCTATGTTAAAGTCCTGCAGCTAAGTCCCGGGTTCTTTTCACGACTTCATCATGACTGTTCAGAGGACCTGCCACCACAGCCGAACAGGGCTTGTCAAATCCCCATCACCTCTTCAGGTGGAGTCGTGTGGAGGTACGAGAGGCCCTTGACTCTCAGCATACCACCCCATGGCAGAAACTGCTACCGGCACAGTTTTTCTGCCGCCCCGGAGCACTCTACCACAGGAAATATGAAAAGTACTTCCGGGGCTAAGTGTAAGAAAGTTATATTCAAATGAAAATTTTCTTTTATTAAGAATTTTAAAAAGATCACTCATCCATACCATTAATACTGGCCTTCCTACAACTAACTAGTCTAAATACCTATATTTAGACTCACCTGCACTCTTATTGAAAATAGATATTCTACCTAATGTAGATAGGCTAATTAGTACTGCTGTGGTTATTCTAATCCTGTGCCCATCTCATTGAAGCCACATAAACATGTACTTTTGTGAAATGAAACTTACTTAAATGACTGCTCAACAAAAGTAGAAAAATTGGTTACTTGTTTTCAATCAGAAAGGTGAATACTAATTATAACTGTTTAGGTAAGCCTAACTCTATACTCTGCTTACAAGAAGCTCACAGTACTTTAACCTACCATATATACTCGTGTATAAGCTGTTTTTCAGCACATTTTTAATGCAGTTTTTGTGGTAAAATTATATACAGTAATCAGTTTCCATGCAAAAGAGAGCAAGTTCATTTTTCTTTTCACTTAAAGTCACAATGTGGTTAGTAGTTGTTATTACCAATGAACCTATAAAAGTCATCTATTTTAGAAAAAGGAAAATAAGTAAGAGGTCACTAAACACAAAAATGAATGGGCTATTACCCAAATTCACCAGACACATTTGAGAAAGCCAAACAGAACTGCTAGAAATGCAATGTTTAATTCCCTTTTTTTTAAACAATAAATCTAACCTTGGGGATTCATTAAGTAAGATCATCACAATGCCACCGAGAGTTCAGAAAATGAGATAATCCTTTAAAGACACATGATCTGTTCAGTTCCTCTCTTCTAACCATCAAAAACCCCAAACGGTTTTCTGCCAGTCACGCACACTCAGCAAGAGAGCTTGCCTGCTGTCTTCCCCTGAGCTAATGGAGGATGGTTTGGCAGAAAATGCAGATGACTCAGTGGTAGCATCTGGCACCATCGGGGGAAATATCAAAAGGAAAATGACAGATCCACATGCCGAACCCGGCCAAGCAGAGACAGCAAAATAGCAATGCAAAGTGGTGGGGGGGGGGGGGGGGGACAGTTCATGGTTATTTGGAGGTGTGAGGTACTTGAAGAAGAGGAATATGGGAGGGAAAAGTTAACATAGGGTCCAAATAGTACATGGTGGGTTAAGGAAATCATCAGGAAATGCACACAAAATTACTCATGGAGATCCATCGTAACTACAGGGAAAACATAAAACCACCCGTAAGGCCTCTTAACAACCCAGGCCACCGGAGACAGCTAAGGAATAACTTCTGTGGAAAGGAAGGTGAGCTCATACTTAAAAATTACTTTGCACAAAAATAAAAATCACCATGGCAGCAGAAACCAACATAATTCCCAGCCTACATCTGAGTTTAAAAGAAGCATCTTTAAGCTCTCAAGGAAATAGCTGCAATATAACAGGCTAGATCAGCTTCTCAACCTGGGCTGATTGTCTCCCTGGGGGCATATGACAACTGTCTGGAGTTAGCTTTGGGTGTCATAACTGAGGGGGTATAACTGGTATCTAATAGGAGCCTTGGTGGCATAGTGGTTACACGTTGGGCTGCATTCCACATGGTCAGCAGTTCGAAACCACCAGCTGCTCCTCAGGGAAAAGACTGGGCTTTCTATTCCCATAAACAGTTGTGGTTTCAGAAACGCACAAGGGGTCACTGGTGAGTTGGTATTGACTCATGGCAGTGAGATGAGTAGAAGCCAGAGTCCTACTAAACTTCCCACATTGCCTAACTTCCCACACAAAGAATTGTCTGATCCAAAAATGCCAGTAGTGCCAAGGTTGAGAGACCCAGCAATAGAGAATGTGTAAAAAATTGTGGTTGCCCACACAGAGACACACAGTGAAAATCCTGACTTCAGGAATGTGACCAGATAAGAGTACCAAGTGGGCACACACCCAAAAATGATATTTTGGCAAAGCTTGCCTTCCTTCTTAATTGTGCATCCAACTCATCATCCTCTTACTTCTGGCTCTTGGGATGTGAACCCGCCGCTTGCCATCTGAACTGCTGACCTGCTGAACTGCAGGTGGTACAAAAGACCAAAGGTTGGACTTCCCCAATGAAGCCAGAGCAGAAAAGACCTAGTGGTCTGTGCCTGGCAACATGCCAGTTTAGGAAGTCTTACAGGGCAGTTATTTTCTGTCAGATAGGGTTGCAGTAAGTCAGAATCAAACCAACAGTGCACACAACAGTAGCATGTGCCCCAAAGAAGTGAACGCAGTAACACAAACAGAAACTTGGCATCAAGGTCATTATAGCATTCTTCACAATAGCCAAAAGGGACAAAGAACCTGAATGGCCACAAAGAGATTAATGGATAAAAACTATAGAGTAAATACAAAAGGCTTTTCCAAAAGTCAAGAACAATCTTGTCTTTTAATTTCATCTTTCATGAACTTTTTGAAGTCCCAAACATACAATGGGATATTTATTATTCAGCCATAAAGAAAAATGAGGTCCTCAGACATGCTATGACATGGATAAACCTTGAAAACATTATCCTGAGTGAAATGTCAAACACAAGAGGACAAACATTGTACAAGACCACTTACATGGGCAGGTATATAGAAACTGAAGTTGATCAATAGTTACCAGAACTAGGAGAGAAGGAGAAAGAAGAATTCATCACGTGGGGGACATTGAGTTTCTATTCATGGTGCTGGAATAATCTGGAAATGAATTGTGGCAATGGTTGTACAAAATTATGCATGTGATTCACATCACTGAATTGTGCATGTAAAAAATGTGAGACTGGCAAACATTTTGCCATAATTTTTTTAACCACAGTAAAACAAATTTTTAGAAAGACTATAGAGAGAATATAACTAAATTTGTATTCTTTTTCTTCATATAGAGAGAGATTGATTTCAAAGTAATGGCACACACAGTTGTGGAAGATGGCAAGTCCCAAATCCTTGAAGCAAGAGTAAGATTGCAGACCCTCCTGACCCAGGGGCTGCAGGGGCTGCCAAGCCCCAAATCAGCAGTTCAGATGGCAAGCAGCTGGTTCACATCCCAAGGGCCAGAAGTAAGAGGCTATGAATTGGATGTAGGATTAAGAAGGAAGGCAAGCTTTGCCAAAATATCTATAATACATTGGATGTAGGTCAACCTCCAAGGAAACTCCTTTTTTTCTTTCTTTTTTTTTTTGAAACTCTCCTTTCAACTGATTGGTTGCTCACCTCAGATCCAGAATGGAGGATGACTATATAAAACACCTGTCAAACCACTGAAAAGCATGGCCTAGACCAGTTGACATGCCATCACCCTGGGTGATGCGCCTACAGATGCTAAAAGACAGTCCCAGTGCCACATTCTCTGACCACACATCAAACGGATCCAAACCCAGTTGATTATAACTCATCAACCCTGTACAGGTTTCTGAGGCTGTAAGTCTTCCCAGGGCCAGATAACCTCATCTTTCTCCTGCAGAGTGGCTGGTGGGTTTGAACAGCCAACCTCAAATGTAGCAGCCCAAGAAATAACCCACAACACCATCAGGGCTCCTTCTCTGACCATAGTATAATAAAATTAGAAAACAATAATAAACAAACAAAAAACCCTGTAGATTTGAAACACTGAAAAAAACTCTCTCGATCACATCTTCACGCCATCTTTACAAACACTATTAACAAGGATTTCGTGAAACAAATAACCGGTGAGAAGAAAAACATAACATGTCCCTTTGGAATGATCGCGTAGGATTTTACACACTTGCATCTGGGTAGACAAACTTCAGGAAAAGAAAGCACAAAGCTATCCCCAAAGTAGCCTCAAAAAGAACAGATCAGATTTTTTTGTACCCGGTACAAGAGATGGGCAGGGAAGTAGATGATTAAGTGCCTTTCAGAGCCCTGTCAGAGGGTGCCTTCCATCAGTGTTACCATCACACACGCTGCCTCAGCTCCCGAGCTCAGCACAGCACTTACCTCTTCTGAAGGGTCTCCGGGCTTCACTTTCTCAGGCAATGGACCAACGGGCTATCCAAGGCCAATTCTTTTTCCTTTTTTCGGTTTCTGATACTTAATCCTAAGCCACTCACTTGCCCACACAGGCAAAACTGACGTTTAACTTTAAGGAGTTCCCCCTTTTGCAACTCCTCCTCTCAAGACTTTCCACAGAGGTCTCAGAAAGAGATTGTAATTGTATTACCAAATATTTCCCTCCTCCTTTCCGCACCCACACAAAGCCTCCAGTCTTCATCATGGGTTCATTTTTGTAGTTGAAGTGTAAGGGTGCTCCAAAAATTATTCAGACCCGAGTCACCCGGGCCTTTCACAGCACTGGCTAACGGAAGGGGAGTCGGTCAGCTGCTGGAAGCAGAAACCACTCCAGATATTGTTTCCTGTGGAAAGACACCGAATACCAGTGCTTACACAACTGCTAAAGGGCTGGGGAAAGGGGTTCTCAATGAGCTTCTAGGAAAGACATGGCCTCAAAAAGAGCTTGGGCTCTCAGAAAGGCATTGCTGCAGTCAGGCAGGAGGGCAATCGGAAGGTTGCCCCCAGGAGCACGGCACTCAAGAACAGCCCGCATTAGGAGTGACCCAGAGATCAGAAGTGGCCTAGCCCTCACCACCCTGCCACCGACACTCACAGAACCTGTAAAGAGTAAGAAGCTGCCACTGAAGAGTGCTGCCAGGCTCCACCACGTCACCACCACCATGCTTGCCCGCCGAAAAACGAGAGAAGCAGCAAAGTACTGGCCTCAGCCTTACTTCTTTGCAAACCCTGGCTGAATGCTTCTAATTGGCTGAACTTGGTGCATATCCTCATGGCAAGCCCAGTTGGGTCCAAGTAGAACTGTGCTCCCAAGGGTTTTTCATGGCTGGTTTTGGGGAAGAACAAGAGCAGGCCTTTCTTTTGAGGCACCACTGGGTGGAATCGAATTTCCAACTTCTTGGTTTGCATGCGTCGTTGGTGTCAACGCTATGGCAACTGACACTGGCGATTCACATGGTAACTCTAAAGGAGTCTGGCACATGCACTCTGGTCTCAGCCTCTAGAACAACGGTTGGCAACCTGTGGGTTGCGACCCCTTTGAGGATCAAACGGGGGTCGCCCGATTCGCAACAGTAGCAAAATTATAGTTAGGAAGTAGCAACGAAAATTTTATGGTTGGGGGTCACCACATGAGGAACTGTATTAAAGGGTCACGGCATTGGGAAGGTTGAGAACCACTGCTCTAGAACGAGGTGGGTATTACTCTGAGAGCTAATTGACCTGAGTCACCAGGGAAGGGGCTCCAGGAGGGCGTCTGTTTCTTCATTGCTGTTAAATCCCCTGCGGGCACCCCTGTGTCTGACCCTCAGGAGGTGCTCCATTAATACTGAAAGGCTGGAGAGAGTTTCACAGACGATACTGAATAATGGCCTTGCTTTCTTTTTCTCTCCAGATTGGAAGTGGATTATATCCCCACAACCTCTCAGGGCCAGCCGTCAAACCCCTCATTCTTTTGCTCCCTGATGACCAGCATTTTAATACCTTGGCCAACCAACTCATAATGGTTTGTCTTGGCCCGTCCCAGTTGGAGCACTAACAGTCTTGTCCCTCAGTCCTGGGCAAACTGGGGCAACTCAGAACCCTTGCATGGACTTGGGCAGTCACTCCTTTATACCACCACTGTACTATGTACAGACCTCTATGAAAATACTTAGCACATCTAACTGGTACCTGGCGTCCCAAGGGGTAACAGTAAACTGTGGCTAACAGTAATCAGGCTTTTCAGCATTTCTTACATAACATCAACTCTGCCTTCAACAACCAATGTCCTAAGTGCAGGCAGGCACATACGCACACATACACAAACCCCTCGATTTCATTGAGTTCATTCTGACTCACAGCAACCGTACAGCGCAGAGTAGAACTAGCTCTTTGGGTTTCCCAAGCTGTCCATCTTTATGGAAGTAGAAAGCTTCATCTTTCTTCCGAGGAGCAGCTAGTGGGTTCCAACTGAATACCGTGTGGTTAGCAGCCCACCACTAACCCACTATGCCACCATGGCTCCTTCCAAATCACACAACTTTCCCTGTCATCATGAAGCAGTCATCAGCAAGATTGTGTTCCCACCATGGCTTAATCTGGACCAAAAGACATGCTGAACCTTCTAATCTTTGTACTGTGAAGCAAGGACACAGCAGGTGAGACACAAGCAGGGTCACGTCGTTGAGCCACACTGTGAAAGCAAATACGGTTTTGATTACTCTGGGCAGCAGCAATACAGAGAAACCTGCCTTGTCAACTGCAGAAAGCAGCAGGAACTGGAACTTTCTGGTGCCTGGCAAACCCCACTGAGATATAAATAGGAAGTTCTTGAGACTGTCACACAGAAGTTTCTGTGTGACCACAAAACGTGGTTACATGGTCCATGATGCCATCTAAAGGGCAGCTGGAGCATAAAAAGAGCCCACCTGCCCCCGCCATTTGTGTCGGGAGTCTATGGATACTGGCTGGGTGTCAAACAATTCAGGCAGCCGGGCCCATGAACCAGCCTTCTCTCCTCCAGCTGTAGGCACTGTAAACCTGAGACAGTGCATGAAATGTGATTGTGTGCTCTGCCCTTGAAAAAAGCATTGAAAATGAGAAGTGTGTAGTGATAAATCATCGTGTAGTTCTTGCTTTCTGGACTGCTTCAGGTACATACTCAATCACAGTCTAGAGGTCGCGCACTTACACTGAAGCATAACACGTTCTAATTTGGGGTGCTACCTATGACTGATGCACCAGTAGTTGAGAGCATGCATTCAGATTTATTTGGCTTCATAAGGAAGGCTTTTCAATTGTAGCAAGCTGCCCACAGGCAATAGGTGATCCCAGTTCTAAAAGAAGAAGGTCTCTCTGATAAAGTTCTTAGGTAAACCTCCACAAATCCCAAATGCCTCTATTGTTTGGATCAGCTACAAGCAAGCTACAGAAACTGAGAATGAAAGAATCATTGAGAAGGGCCCAAGATATACAGGAGACAAGTCATCTAATTGGATACACACTCAGTAGCAGAGCAGAGTAATCCAGAACAAGAAAGTTATCTGACATAGTGGCCCACTCCATCTTAACCAAAATTAAATTCTCACTGAGGTAAGCTCACACATAGCGCAAGCACCTACGAGTACCCCCCACTTTTGTCCAATACAAAATTCGATGTAAGACAAATAAACATCTCAGCGTTCCCTGGACAGTATTTTTCTATCCAGAGGCATTTGACCAAGCATTTGCCTCTGTTTGAAAAACCCATTCCCTCTTCTCCGTTTCAGCCTGTTGAAATTCTATCCGTCTTTCACAGCTTCTCTCCCCAAAGCTTGTCTTGCTCTCACACTTCTTTGAAGCAATGTTTGCAGTCTCTCTTGGCATTATTCTTATTCTATCATAGTTAGTTAGGCACCTGTTAGTAAGGCCCTTGAAGACGAATAGGCTCTGATTCATCTCCCATAGGATCTGGTAGGTCTTTCCAGGCCCGCCAGCCTCAGCTCTCTCAGCCTTAAACAGATGGCCCCCAGTGTGCAGACAGCAGGACTGCACATGCCCAGTACCCACTCATCCTTTTGTAACCCACGGACGAGGAAGAAAGGTGCACTGGTGATTTCAGCAGCTGCAGATGGAACCTAGTTGTTAGGTCCAGGAGGCAGCTTGGGAAAGTAAACTTTTGCAACTCTAGGAGATCATTAAGCTATTGATTTAGGGCGATTTGGGTTGCCACTGTAACCAAAACTCACTGCCAGGCCCAATACAAGAACAGTAAGTTCTGATAACATGGCCCGGCTTGATGCTGCCTTCATGAAATGATCACAAGGTATGTGAGCAAAGTAAGGTACTACAGCAAAGTGTGGTGGAGAGAGAAGATGGTGCCCAACTATCATTCAGAATAGTGTCAGGGATCTTAAAGGCTTGTATTCAAACAAGAAGGCATCTAAGTGAGGGATCAGCTAAGTCCACGCAGAAGAAGCACACCAGTTTGTGTGATTTAAAGAGGACAAGTACAAAAATCAATTATGACGAAGGGAAAAGTATCACAGCTTAAATTGTGAACACCCAATTTGTGGACGGCTGTGGAGGACAGTGGGAGTCCAAAACCCATCTGAAGAATATCTAGTCAGATTAAATTGCTGGCAGCATTTTATTCACCACCACTCCCACCGCCCCCAGCCACAGTCTTACTATCAAACATAAAGCCTTGTTATCCTGCTCGGCTGCATAAAACTTGATACTTGTCCAGTTGACCTTCCTCTAGACCCAACCTGAATTTGTTGTAGGTGCAAGGATCTCCTGCCTGGCTTTGGGATCTTGGTGGATTTTTTCTCTCCTGCTCATTGTGGTATTTTTATCTTTATATTGCTAGTGTTTGGTTCTTACCACTTCATTTTGGTTTTGTTCTTTCTTATTTCTTTTGGGTTTAACCGTGGTTTATGAAGCACAGAAGGAGTAGATGCACAGAGATAATAACTGATGCAAGGATCTATAGGGGTGTAGGGGGGTAGGGGAGGAAATGGGGAGGGGAGGGAATGCTGGAAGTAAACAGTGAAGGTGAGGGGGAGGGAGCACTAGAAATGAGTGTGATTACACAGCTCATTTTAAAGGTGATTTAGTCATGAGGAAAATAATTAAATGTACTGAAATTGAATGTAGTGAATGAATGATTGAATTTTATGATGTGGATTATATGCCAATAAAACTGAAAACAAAAACAAAACACCTCACTGCCATCGAGCCGATTGGACTCACAGCTACCCTGTAGGACAGAGTATAACTGCTCTTGTGGGTTTCAGAGACTGTAACTATAGGATAGAAAGCTTCATAGTTCTCCCTAGGAGGAGCAGGTGGTTTTGAACTGCTAGCCTTAGAGTTAGGAACACAACACATATCCCACTACTCCACCAGGACCCCTTTGTGATTATAAGAGGCTGGGTAATTCCTTAAGCAGGGCTTCCTGGGGCCTGGGAGGACCTCACCTTGAACAAGTTGAATAGATTGTGTCCAGCTAAGCTCACGAAACATCCAGTGGCCTAATATCTCCCAGTTCCTTTTGTTTAAAATGTGTCCTTTGCAGTTATCACAATAAGATATATATATGCTCAAAAACAAAACTAAGTGATCTCTATCTTTTAAGTGACATACACACATATACATATACAGCTCACTTAAAAAGATTATATTTGAGTGTGCAAATGTCTGAAAGTGACACTAAACTGCAACTTCTGGTTATCTTTAAGGAATGGACACCTGGAGGCTTTCTCTATTCACTGTGCATGCATTTCACCCTAGTAATTACTAAGCAACTTG